CCAACGCCTGTAACCAAACGACCAGCATCCAAATACTTGGAGAGCAAAAGAAAAAAAAACCAAACGATTTCATTTCTTCGATCAAACCCTCACATATACTCACACGCCAAACCGGTTGCAAGTGGCAACACCTTCGCTGGAGTTGCAGAACCCACATACAAATACAAAAAGCTGCAGCTATATTTGTGTTAACTTTAACGTTTCTCTATTTTCTTTTGGGATGGCGCAAACACCGGCACACTTATTGGCAACAACAAATCGTTAACATACCACACGAACGCAGCAAAAAAAAGGATATATATATAACCAACAAAAACACCCAGGACCATTGTTAGGTCTTCTACTGGCAGCCGCCAGCCTCCATTCAACTTCATAGCTGCTATTATCTTCATCATCATCATCAACAACACCAAGGATTTTTTTGCGTTGCATTTGCCGAGCTGCCACCATCACCACCACACAGAAAATCAAAGGAACAACAACAACAGCCACACCACCAACAACTGTAAATGCTTTAAATTATAGTTTCGCTTCAACGGTCTCAGGATTCATACGAATGTTATCAGTATGAAAGTAAATTGTGTTGCAATTTGCTTGTCAGGTAAGTTTTTCCGATGGGGGGAGAGAAGCTTTTAAAAAACCGAATGGTTTTGGCTCTTTTGTTGATGCCCTTTTTCGTATTTTTTTGGTGTGTGTTTTTTTGTTTTTTGCATGCACTTTTTTGGGGGTTTACCATTTTTTGTTTTTATATTGCCTGCCATACCCGTAAACATAGCTTCCAATGCAGTTGCATGGTGGTTTTGGGATTTTCTCCCCATTCGGCGTCTTCTTCTTCTTATTTGGCGTAAAAGCCTGAAAAGGATTTATTGTTTGAGTTATATCGAATTGTGCGCAAATAACGTCAGTCTTCTTTTTCAATAAAAAATCTGTTTTATTTTCTTTTTGCGGGGGTGGGGAGAGAAGTGAATTGAAGAATTTAAAGCCAGGTATTTTTGTGTGATCGGAAAAACATTTCTGTTTTTGGTTAATTTAAACCCCTAAATATCTTACAATCATCTCTAAATGCAAGAAGCCCCTCTATATCTTCAAATTTAGACTCATCTATATGATTTGCTTGTCTACGATATTTGGCTATATTCGTCAACGAAATCAGCATAAAAAAGCCAGAAGTTCGCCTTTTGTGTATTTCGGATATCGCCTGTAAGTTATGCTGGTATTTTTTCACACAAAATAAGTAATCCATTGTACCCGCTGTCCTAAACTCTAACTTTATGCGAGATTTCGTGTCCTTTGGTTTCTATTTGTGACCTTTATAACGGCTGCAAAATCAGGAAAATTTTTAGTTGTTGGTCCATTTCAACCCCTAATATATTGCGGACGTCATTGAAAACAATAGGCCTTGCCCTTTTGAGCCCAACCCTTCCCTTGTGAATATTTTCGTGAGGATCTGACGATATTTGCAATCCTTATATAATATCCCCAACCTGAGTTGCAAGGTGAAAAATTATTACATAATATTATAAGTCAAATTGAAAAAATCGCATGCGATAAAAAATATGAAAAAATAAAAATATGTCACAAAATACTACAAAATCTATATTAACATCATTATTGGCATATTTTATGCGATTTTTTTAGATTTTATACTTTCACACCAAGAGGGCATTCTGAATTGGCAACATTTTTCAAAATCGGTCCGGCCATTCTTGAGATATAATCATTCTAGCTAACATCCCCCTCATTTGTATATACACATTGTATTTATTTCGCTATATATATATATCCGATATAGTTACTATCGGCATGGACGTAACGGTCAGAATTGACCCGTTCGTCTATTTGTGATTTCGTCGGGATTAAAAATATTTGCGGTTTAATGGAAAATTTGACTTTTATTCAACACAAATGTTATGGTCTGTTTCACCCACTAAATATTACCCGATGATCATCAAAATTGGAAGACTTCCAGCCACCCCTAAGCTCTAGCTCCATGCTAACTTCTGCTTCGATTGGTCCATAATTGCGACCTTTAAAGCAGCTACAAAATCAAGAATTTTTTCAGTTTTTGGTCCATTTGATATTATGCGATCATCTCCAAAATATATAGGGTTCTATTCTGACCCTAGCCCCACCTCCATTCTAAATTACGTGAAGATCGGGTCACAATTGCGACCTGTAGAGTGATTACAAATTAACAAGGACAGACGGACAGATGGACGGGCGGACGGATATACATAGCTAGATCGACTAAGCTCGGCGAGATAGGAAGATCCATATATACTTTCCTATGTGGGAAACCAATATTTCAAGGTGTTACATAATTTTTGGCCTAATCAAACTTATAATACCCCCAACACATAGTGTTGTAGGGTATAAAAATAGGGTTTGAAGACGCACGTAATATTTTAAAATTTCCATGCTTGCAAAATAGTTATTCGAGTTCAAATCTCAACCTTTTGGGTTTCTCTTCGACTTCTATCCTAAGAAAAACCCTTAACATTCCATAAATTATTTTTGTTCTACATCATTACCATAGGAGTCTACCAAAATACCTAAAATCTGCTAATGAAATATTTATTTAATTATCTGATAGAAAGAGAAAGGATCATCAGATTTTTTGTAAACTTTTCAAATGGCTAGAGAGGATATCTATGATACAGTCAAAACGTGCCTATTCGTGCCTCTTTGAACCAAATCCGTTTCAGAACATTTGGAGTCGATCTAGCGATGTCCGTCCGTCCGCCTGGCTGGTGCACACGATAACTCTTGAAGGGAGTATCCGATTTGGTCCAAACTTGGTAAACCGTAATATAATAATCAAACTTAGATCGCGTTCGGAGATGGGCAATATCGTCTACTTTTTTTTAAACCTCCCCCACAAAAGCTCGAAATTTTCAAAAAAAAAAAAAAAAACAGTAAGCAATGGTCAAAAGTCGGGCTGGCCGACTATATTATACCTTACACCACTATGCGTATTTAGAAGAGCTCCCGTAACAACAATTTGGGAACTATATCCAACCCTAAATCGATTTTTTACAAATTTTACGGCAATATTTGTAACTCTAGTAGCAAATAACATGTATGATCTGATTCCGATAAAGATTATATTAAAAATATATACGGGAGGTATCTCCAAATCTGAACAGATTTTAATAAAATTAAAATCAACCGTTTTTGGGCTTTATCTCATATCTGGTACCAAATATCATTCCTGTGGAGTGCATATTACGAATGTGAGGGACTTAAATACCAAATCGGATGAAACGTATATATGGGAGCTATAGCTATATCTGAAACAATTTTTACTAAAATTGATTTACTTGCTTCTAGGCTGAATTCAAATTTGGTCGGATGTACCAAAATTCAGGTCATTGGAACTGATATTGGCCATTTAGTTCACAATTAACTCGAAATCGGTTGAATATATATGAGAGCTATACCTAACTGTGAACCGATTCTCACCAATTTCAATAGGGTTCGTCCTTGGGCCAAACAAATGTTGTTTGGAACATTTCATCTCAATCGGATAATAAAAGCATTTTGTTCACAAAAATACATGGACAGACTGAAATGCATAAATCAACTCAGAAAGTGATTCTATGGAGATCCTAAAAAATAACTATGGCTCTATATCGTTTCCTTCTCCATCTTACAAACAAATGCACAAAGACATAATACCCTTACCACTATGTGGTGTAGGGTATCAAAATATTTTCTGCACAGAGAGAAAAGATAATCCGATTTTGCTCCAACTTTGTAAATCCTAATATTTGCATCAGTGCAAGATTAAACTCGACCCACATAGGGTCAACATTTTGAAAAATTATAACGCTCATAAAATGTTATGTAAGTGTCTGATTGCCTTAAAATTTCAGACCTCCCAATATTTTTTATTAACCCAAGGTCTGGTGTGACGATGGAATATGTCGGTTCACTCCTTCTGGTACCTCCCGCACAAAAGATCAAAATTTTCAAAAAATATATTTTATGCACAGATATAATTACAACTCTTATAGAGGAATCCGATTGTCTTCAAATTTCATCCCAATATTTTTATAATCCCAAGATCTGGTGTTAAAATGGAATATATCGGTTCACTCGTTCTGGTACCTCTCCCACAAAAGTTCGAAATTATGAATACAAAATGAACAATATTTGCCCATTACTTCAGAAGGATATACATCTGTCGGCTAAAACGAGAGATACTTTTTAACTTGTTATGATGGTAGAGATTGGGTTATTTCTTCTTGTACCTCCTCCACAAAGGGTTAAAGTTTTGAATAACCAAAATGTTTGTAAAATCCGAAATAAGCATCAGGTTCTCTTTATATTTCACACATACTATTACTTCTACTAACACTAGATCTGATGCGAAGATGGAATGTATCGGAATACTCCTTCTGGTACCTTTCCCACAAGGTGTAAAATTTTTTAATATCCACGAAGCTCATAAAAAGCCAAATTAACATCCGATTTCATTTAGACTTGGTAAACGTCATTATTTTCATCAACACTAGATCTGTTATAAATATGGTAGAGATCAGATTATTTCTTCTGGTGCCTCCCCCACAAGGGATTCAAGATTTTGAAAAACAAAACGCTCAAGGAAGCGGAATAACCAGAAACCTGATATTAATATGAAATTTATGATATCGCTTAAAATTGGATACAAATGATATCCCAATATTGAAAATGAGGTATATAGGTCTATGTTTTGGTATAACCCCATTATAACGGTACCTCCCAATTTTCGGTGTTTTGACGATTTTTGCCACATTTTTCTACGGACAAGTATTAGTAGTTTGTAATGGGATCTAGCATCTGTTTATTGATTTACATTTTTTTTTTTTTTTTATTTTCTAGAATAAATAACAACAAACAATGTATAGCAATTTAAGGTATAAGCATATGTTATTGATAATACACTTTTATTTGTCTTCGAAAGAGGGTCTAATCAAATCACTCTTGCTCTCTTATTCTTCTCGTTTCAGTTGCTTTAACGCTCAAAATCTCATTGATGTTTGTAACGTTTCATCTGCCGACAACGCTGGCAGATGATTGGTCACAGTCGTGTGCCTCAAATTGTACCTGCAAATGGACCAATGGCAAAAAATCCGCCATATGCAGTTCGCTGCAGCTGACGACGATACCGACAACGTTGAGCACCGAACTGCAGGTGCTGGTGCTGAACGATAATCATATACCATATCTGAATCGGGAAGAATTTACAAATTTAAATCTATTGAATTTGCAAAGAATCTATTTGAAAAAGTCGGAGGTGCAATATGTCCACAAGGAGACATTTAAAGATCTTAAGATATTGGTGGAGATTGATTTGTCGGATAATAAAATTGAAATGCTCGACAAGGATACGTTTATGGGAAATGATCGTTTGAGAATATTGTATTTGAATGGAAATCCGTTGAAAAAATTGGTGGCTTATCAATTCCCCATTTTGCCCCATTTGCGAACGCTGGATTTACACGATTGTCTGATATCGTACATCGATCCCATGGCATTGGCGAATTTAAATATGTTGGAATTTTTATATTTGAAAAATAATCTACTGGAGAGTTTGAGTGAATATGTCTTCCAACATATGGCGAATTTGAAAACGTTGGTTTTGGATGAGAATCCATGGCAGTGTAATTGTAAATTGAGGAAATTCCGAAGCTGGTATGTGAACAGTAGATTGAATAGTGTGAGTCTGCTGTGCAAGGGACCACCTCAACACAAGGATCGCACCTGGGATCAGGTGGAGGAGGAACAATTCGGTTGTGGCCCGAAGGTGGAGATATTCAACAATGAAGATGTTCAGAATATTGAAATTGGAAGCAATACCACCTTCAGTTGTCTGGTCTATGGAGATCCACTGCCGGAAATCACTTGGGAATTGAATGGGAAAATTCTCGATTCCGATAATGTTATGTTTGAGGCGGAAAATGTGGCCTCCGATAAGTTATGGAATAATTTGACAGTTTTCAATATGACCAGTTTAGATGCGGGAACATATGTTTGCACTGGCACGAATGTAGTGGGTGTGGCATCGCAGAATATTAGCATTTATTTGACAGAAATCGTCCAACATGTTTTGGTCAAGACACCGGAAACTTTTTGGTATTTTGGTCTGATAATGGGCACATTTGGAACTGTTTTCCTCTTGATTTTGATTTCATTTGTTGTCTGCCTTTGCAAGAGAACCACACGCCAGCGTAGGCATCCCAGCAAGACGGGCGTGAAACCCAGTGTCAGTTTTAATGACCAGGAGAAAAAGCTGCTGGACTTGAGCATCACAACCACCACCAATGATCGGGTGGACAGCTGCCTGGATAACAATCACAGTACCGCCACTGCCATGAGTAAAGCTGAATCGGTAATAGGCTTTGAACCTATCGAAATCCATTCGGTGGATAATCATCGCAACAATGTCCACAATCATCATTCCCTGATGATGGGTGGTGGCCACCATCAGATGACCCATCAGCAGCAATTGCAACAACATCATTCGCATATGCCAGCCACAAGTGTGGCGGGAGCTACACGCCAGCAACAGCTTATGGCCGTGGCAGATGGCTCATGTAGTGTTGTGGGCATACCCACGTCCATGGCCTCGGCTGTGTCCGCCGCTCATCACAATCAAATTCCCGAAGAATTTCCCCTAAATGTTGGCGTTTTTCCACCCCCACCAGAATTCTGTTCCAACATTGTACCAAATCCAGCCTATGGCAATATATTTATAAGCGTCTCTGTTACTCAGGACATGTTGGATGGTACCGATATCAGCATGTATCCGGATCTGTTAAATATACCCAAGAGAATACAAGATAATCCAGGGGCAGCCATAACCATGGGTGGCGGTGGAGGTAACAGTGACACCCTATCGCCACCACCACCGTCATCATCCTCTGGTGGTGCAGGAGGAGCTGCAGCAGCTGTTGCCAACAACAGTTCCTCCATGGTTAATGTCACGTCGTTTGCCACCCTGCCTCGTAATACTCAGCGAAGAGGTATCCTCAAAAAAGACTCATCACTGCAGCAACAGCCACAGTTGCCGCAAACAAATCTCTATACGCATGATGAAATTGTATCCTATCACAATTTGGATACCACCTACAGCCAGGGCTATCAGGAACATCAAACGGAACTAATTGGGCTGCCACCACCTCCACCTCCCCCCTCAGTTAAATGCCATCACAGCCAGCAGCAACAAACAACGCAGCAGCAACAGCAACAGTCCAGCAATGCTACCTCCAAACCTTGTAGCGGTTGTATGTCTGCCGCCCTACAAGCTCCTGGAAGTGCCTGTGCTAGCCCGCCCATTGATGCCACACCCCTGCGACCGTTGTGCAAACAAACATCGGGTGCCTTGGGTTGCCTTAAATACGACAACATGGGTCGACGCATTACAGCCAGTGGCAATTCAACCCTTTCGTTGCCCGACGAAGAACGTCTGGAAAGTGAGACCCTCTTCAATGAGGGTAATCCCCTGACAAAAACACCCGCCACCAAAGTCCATCTTTCGGGTCAACAGAATTCTACACAAAATAAAACACAAGACTGCCAACAGCAAGCCGCGGTAACGGGCGGCACAGCGACAACAGGAACAGTGAGTTCGGGACAAGCGAAGAATTCGAATAGCAAAAGCCACCAGGATACGGGGAATGAATTTGTATCGCTCTAGTATTACGGGACCCAGGTGTAAATAGTGAGAAAATATTATGAAAATGTCATTGTAAGGCAGGAGGCTTATATTTAGAAACCAAAAAAAGAACACAACATAAACTTGTAGAAATTTGTCAAATAGTATCGTAAATCAAACATTACATTTTAAGAATATTTAAAAAATAAGCAAAATATAATTTAGATTTTATTGTAGGTCAATGGAAAAATTTAACAAAACAAAATTAATTAATGTATATAATTACTTATATAATTGTCAAGAAAAATGTATAAATTGGATGTGGGTAGGGGAAACCTATCGCTTTACTGTTTAGAAGCATCTTAATGCTATTTTACCAAAATGTGTGTCCCAAATGTTATTTTTCATTTCAAGCTCGTTCTTTTAAGGGGTAGCAACCATAAAAATTGACTGCACATATATTCAGACATTATTTTATTATTTGTGGACAAAGTTCAACCTTTTTTGTACTATAGGCAGTCTGGGTTGTAGAAAATTCCAAGTGGATTACTCGATATATAGATCTGCTATAAGACCGTTAAATAGCCTTGACCATATACAAAGATATCCCAAAATTTTAATATATATTTCGTAACATTAAAGTAGAGCTTTGATAATTTATAGAGAGCTCTGAAATAATTCTAAAACTATTAGTTTGTATACTGGTTTATATTGATCCCTTTTTTGGTTTAGTCCCTTATGCAAGGGTGGACCCAGATTTCAAGTAATTTTAACTTTTTGGTGATAAATGCAATTTTATTTAGTATTTTAAATTTAGTTGAATATATTTTGTTATTTGTTTGAATTCATATACGTTTTGTATTCATTTATATTTTCCGAAAGCTCTTAAGTTTTGTTTAAGACTTGTAAAATTTAAAGAAAATCGGTTATTGATTTCAAAATTTAAGTGAGTTATTTCATATTTTTATCTCATTATATAAAGAGTAGTCCAATATCGGCCGATCTTTCACTTTCCTTAACCTAATACATGTACCAAAAGGACTTTTGAAGCTATGGGGAAGGTCTAACTAGTAAAATAATAAAAATCTGAATATTACTTTTAATGTTAGAAATATACGAATTTTCGGAAAAGTCAATCAAAAATCCTTTGCTGTCATTGCTGTCAATATTTTTACTTTCCTGGGGAAATTAGAAGAAGAAGCCGGTCAATATTTTACTTTGTTGCACCTTTTGTCTAAGTAATACGATGTGACTAAATACTCCCATTACTCAATAATAGATTTTTATTTCTCTGCAAGATTTTAACTTTTCCAGAGGAGGAACGATATTGTCTATTTCCGAATTTAATTAAATTTTCGTAAAAGTTATATACACTGTACCAGTTTAGACCAAATAGAATACTCCCTTAGAGAGTTACCTGTCAGCTTGACAGACATATATATGGACTCCATATTCACTTAAAAGATATATATAGTCTAAAACCGTTACTTCCATGAGACCGTATAGAATAATATATACAGGGTGAAATGAAAAAACTGCTACCAAATTCAGACTGCTGTCATTTCTAAGCCACTCGTTCGACAGCTGTTTAAATTATGCCAGTGACAGCTCATTATATTGTTTACAAGCGTACAAAAGCATTTCGCTTAATATTTTCCAAAGGAAAGTTATTCGTGATGGAATACAAGCGTGATAGTGTGATTTCTTCATATTTGGCTGGAAACCACAAGTGGCTATCGTTAGAGAACTCCAGCATTTAAATGTACCATCGCTAGTTATCGTGATACTGGTAGCGTAGTCCGACGTCAAGGAAGTGGACGTAAGAAAACAGTAACACCAGCAGAAATGGTTCGAAAAGTAAAGAAGCGACTTGATTGAAACACGCGTCGCAGTGGCCGAAAATGGCTCGTGAGCTGAACATATCGCAATATTCCATTCGACAAATGTTGAAAAATAAGCTCGAGGTAAAGCCATTGAAATTGCAAAAAGAGCAAGAACTTACACAACAACGGAAAGAAAATAGACTCAAAAGAGCTAAAGAGTTGCTTCGCTTTGCCGAAAGTGGAGAATTGTGGAATTTGAGATCTCCGATGAGAAAAAATTCGTTGTCCAGCAGTTTGTAAACAAACAAAATGATCGTGTTTATTTGCTAAAGAGGTCAGCTGATGGTGTGGGCCGCCATAACAGCCGATGGTCGCTATCCCCTCGTATTAATCGACCGTGGCATCAGAATAAATGCCGAATATTATCGCGAAAAAATTTCTGGAGGGTGTATTAAAGCCTTGGGCACGCAAACTTGTTGGCCGCAGACCTTGGACATTCCAACAGTACTCAGCAACATCGCATTCAGCATGCGCCACCCAAGAAAGGTTACAAAATGAGGTTTCTCGCTTAATTTCCAGGGCACAATGACCACCAAAATCTCCGGATACCAATCCGTTGGACTATTGTGTCTGGAGTATTTTGAAAAGCAAGGTTGGCACTAAAAACTACCAAAGTGTCGATCATCTCAAGCGAGCGCTTCGCCGGTAATGGGCCAAAATACCGCAGAGCAATATTCGGGCAGCGTGTGACAGTTTCATTGGCCGTTTGACCAATGACCAATACGAACAAATCTAAACTTATTCTAAAATTTGAAGGTGTTTCCGACAGATTTAATAAAATTAAAAAAAAATGTAAAAGTTGTGGCGATTGACCTTGTTGCAGTTTTTTTATCTCACCCTGTATTATATGTAGCCATAAGCTTGTGAAAAGCATCTCAATATAATCTAAAGTTCTCGGGTTCCCCATCAGAGTTCCATTCCACCGTCTTACATAAAATTGATTTTAAAAACACCATTCACAATGCCCATTTTTCCTTTTTATCGTGACAAGAAAATCTGCCGAAAACATCTATAATTCGATTTCAGAATTCAAAATTTGCTGATATAATTTACAATGAACTTGCAGTAGTCTACAGACATATGTATGCCCAAATGGAATCATTAATGCAATGTAATAAGTGTTTCCTTTTCATCCCTTTGTCTGAACCTTTAGAAATCCTGAATGTCGTTCTGTGTTGGATTTCTGAACTCAGAATAGAAAATTTCAGTTTCGGAGATATTAACGACAGATGGGCATTTTTAATCGGCATCAAATTCTACAGCCTATTATAACACCTATATTGAAAGAAAAAAATTGAAGAATACAGCAAGAATCAAAATTGGTTGCTCACCAAATATTAGGCTAAAATCAGAAAGTAGACCCGGTATTTTATTTCAAAATACTCAAAATAAAGAGATACTTCTAGGGCGTACCAACATTTTCTACAAAGTGGGTTAACATTCTCTGATTAACTTTATTTCAAAATACTGCCAATTTGGTTTAATAATTCATCCATAACCCAAAAATATAATAAAACGGGGTGGACTAGGATGAGGGAATTTTAAGTTTTTAAAAAAAGCTTTAGCCACCCAAAATGTGCAACTTCAGCAAATTCTGTTGAAAATTTTTACTGAAACTCTCAAAATTTGAACTTTTTACCCATTGTCAGTGTTGCAAAATTGTAGCCTTCATCCAGATTTCAACAGATCAACAGATATACTGAGATATTCACAGGCCATATGTCAAAAAAAAAAAAAAAAACATGATACCTTGTTTGAAAGATACATTAATGTACCTGTTTAATTTTCAATTTTGCATTTTTACTTCTTACACTATTCGATCTTCCATCTATAGATAACTGATTTTAATTTCATTATCTCCACATATTTATTATCTCGGCTGTTTTGTCATAATTCACATATACATATAGTACAGAAAACCATAAAAAAACAATAAATTTCCTATCCACATCCAATTTATTACATTAATATATACCAAACTGTACATTTTTTCTAACAAATCAAGCAAAAACAAATCTTTAGTGGTCAAAACAACTTAAGAAAAAAAAAAAACATTTAAAAACATATATCATTCTTGTAAAGGTTATACATTATTTAAAATAAAAACGAAGCAAATCAACCAAAGTGGTATAAACCACACAATTTAGCTGTTACCAAAAAAATAATAAAAACATTTGAGGAAAAAAAATCAATAAAAAAGTAATAAAATCTAAATATTATTTCCATCAATAAACAAAATATGTAAAAATTATATTTTTATAGGTAGAAAAAAAACTTTAAAAATAAATAATATTATGTAAGCATTTAATTCTCATTTTGTAAATAAAATATACGTGTTTTTCTTTTTCATCTTTTAGTAATTCTTAGAAATATAAAAAAATTCAACGTGTATAGAAAAAAAGATAAAATGGAAAGCAAAACGATGTCAAAAATTATTAATTTCTAGTACAAAGCAAATAAGTGTTCTTGAAAGTGAAAATATTGTAAAAAGTGAAATTATATTGGTTATATCATTGATCATTTAAAAAATATAAAATAAGTAAACATTTTGTTTCCAAAAAAAAAAAAAAAAAGAAATCCATAAAAATGAGCTTAACATGCAAACAATTATGAAAACATTTCGTAGCCAAACAATGAAAACTGTATAAATTTTTTATTATGTTATATCATTAATATATATTTAAAATAGAATTTTTATCATTTAGTCTACGTAGCAGAAAAATAAATGTTCATCACTTGCATGAAACCATTTTTGGAATTATGAATATTACAAAAATTAACAATTTGAAAATAGCATTTTGTTCTCTTTTATCTATTTGTATTTTTGGATTTCTCATAATTTTAATCTTACGAATTGAAACAAAGTAGTTAACCTTTTTATGGTTCATTGGATCTTCTTATCCAAATTTTTCTTTGAAGTGAACAAATATGATTGAATATTTTCTAATAGAATATATTGATTTCAGATTTCTGCACAGCTCAATTTAAAGCAACGGAAAAAATTAAAATTTGGTTATTAATGGTCAAGAAGGTAAAACGCGTGCTACAGAGGTGAAACGGGACCACCCCCAAAATATTTACTATTCTGAAATTTCTGGTTCATTTAACATGAAAATTTAGTTTTCTACATGTTGGCTCCCCCAAAATGGGTTTGGAATGCAAATATGCGTTCATTCCTGT